AGCTTTTCAGTCCGGGCGCTTATCCTGTTGGACCCACTTACAGCCGGGTAAACTGCAGGCACAGTCCCCTCCCTGAGCCACTGACCCGTCACACCCATCATGACGCTTTGAAAATCGTTCAGATTCTTCCTGTGGTGCTTTCCATCCTGTCTCCTCTCTGGTCTGCGTAGTCTTATGTTACTATTTTAGGAATGATCTATAAATGTGTCTCTTGCTTTATTGGAGCATATTAATTCCACAATGCCTGAAGCCAGACTGTCTGCAGAAGGCAGATGTTGGGGCCTGAGACCCCAGGCTGCGTCCATTTCCCGGGTCATTGCCCAGTCCCCGTTTTCATGTTGCTGTCTCCATCCTCCTCTCACCTATCTGAAGGTCTGCAGTAGAAACAGAATCCTGACGGGCCTGCTCCAGGCTTCCTTGGGCGCACTTGTATCATATGAAATGCGTTTCAGCACTGCTGCCATGCTCTGTCATTCTGATATCCTGGGACAGATGAGATGCTTTTAAATGTGCCTGGTGAATTTGATCATTTTTTCTCTCTGTGGGTTTTGGTATGAATTGTCCCAGAGTCTCAGAGAGGAGGGATCCAGGGCGGAATTGCCACTGTCTGTCCCATCAAGCTCAAAACCCAGGTGAGATGCAGCTGCCATTTCCCTCAACACAGCCCTGCCTACAGTGGCTCCATACCCAGCATGAGGCTGGGTGACTTCTCCCCTAAAACCCCAAACCCCGTCTTAGGTTTGCACACGGAAAGGAAAAGCATGCATAGTAGTAACACAACATTCCACGTTTCTGCAGCAGCCGGAAGACATTGACCGGCCATTAAAATTGCAGCAAGCATTAAGGAAACTGTCCACATGGCCAGAGTGACCGGCTCCCCCACACAGAACCTCACTCCCTGGCCCAGACCAGAGCGAAAATGCAGCAGCCTCCGGCAGATGGGGCGTGGTGGTCTGGAGGCCACAATCGGCAGGCAGGACCACTCTCGGGGTGGACTGTTGCCTGAAGGCTCCTGCGGACAGAAGGCAGGCCCTGGCCCTCGGCCAGCCACTGTCCGCTCTCACACGCATGCTCCCTCTGGCCATGTTGGGGTCTGTGAGCTGAAAGCCTGGGCTCACGCCCGAGGGGTGGAAAGCGCAGGAAAGCAGAGGCAGGCTTGTTCCTGCGCCATGCAAGTAGGAGCTGTTTGCGTGGTACCAGCACGCTGCGGAACCACCTGGGCTCAGAACCTCCTCACTGGGCATCCTGGGTGACTCCCAGCACTGGGAAAGGCACAGATGGGGCTGATCACAGGGGAAATCTGAGCCCAGCCACCAGGCGAAGCATCCTGGGATGTAGGGAACTGGTACCTGACAGCAACGGGTACTTCGTATGAAAGGAATGGGAATGCCCTCAGCCCAGAGGATGTTACAGCAGTGCCAGTGCTGGGCTGTGAATCTGACTCAGAAGGCGGGAAGGTGACAGCCTCCGGGCCGGAGCCTCCCAAGTCAGGGTGGCCAGAGAGAGAGCCTGTGCTTTCTTGGACAGCTTATGTGAAGCGAGGCTGTGGCACCTGCCCCTCAGTTGATGAGGAGGGTGAAGGATGTGGTCTTCAGGAAGCCAAGCAGGGCCTGCAGCCTTGCCACACGGGGGTTCCATGGGGAGGGGAAGGGGTTCCAAGGACAGTGGCCAGTCGCCTCGACACCCAGTCCTTCTTGAAGAAGCAGATTGACGTTACATTTTCGAAGGTTGGAGCAGAAACAAGGCAGGAAGGGAGATGGGGAAAGAAGGAAGCAGGCAGGGCCAGGTCTCCTGCCTTCAGCCCTGGTGGTGCCTGGGCGATGCTGTGGGGGTGCTGTTCCGGGTGGGTGAGTTCCATACATCCAGCTCCACCGCCTGGGAGCCTGCAGCAGTCACACAGGTGTGGCAGCCAGCAGTGTCTCCGGGCAGATGTCCCAGTGGAGGCAAAACCCCTCCATGCAGAAGCACCGGACAGCGGGCTCCGGGGACGGTTTTATCAGAGGCTGTGGTGGGGCGGGGGCAGGGGCAGGGGTCCTGGGCAATGGAGGAAGTGCTGGCGCAGAGGAGAGGAGCTGGAGGGGCCACATGGGCCCTCGCTTTCCAGAGGCAAAGACTTCACACTAGAATTAATAAGTGACAACTAGTTTTGTATTTTATTTTGTTTCTAATGGAAATCTCTTGTGCAAATAAATTCCTCCTCATAATAAAAGTAGGAGGCCTGGCTCTGTGCTGGAGCGAGCTAGTGCGCGCGCTCTCTGTTATCCCTCCTTCTCTCCCCCTCCTCCTCCCTCTCCCCCCTTCTCTCCATCTCTTTCTCCCCCGCCATCTCTCTCTCATCTCTCCTTCCCTCCCTCCCTCCCTCCCTCCCTCCCTCCCTCCCTCCCTCACTCTCACGCAGAGGGAGGGTGTGATTTTTACTCCAGCAGGATTCTTAGTAGCCTGGCTCCCAGGACTTGCTGGGTGGGGAACAGGCTGCACTGGCCTGCTCATGGCACCCGATGGCCTGGGCTTCTCATCGGGTCTCCTTGGCTCAATAGACATTCTCGGGCAAATATATGCGTCTGGGGAGTTTATTCCCACCTGGCCTGTGCCTCGCTGCAGAAAGCAGCATCCTTTCATTTCTGAAAATGGCTTGAAGAGTGACTGAATGCCTAATGAAAACTGTGCACCCAGGGAACCAAATGATTTGGGGCTGAATTCAACCTTGTTTTTCTTCTGATGGCTCCCACGTGCACGCCCTGAGCTCCTGAATTCAACCCTGTTTCTCCTCTGATGGCTCC